TTTTAGGAGAGATATTTTTTTGTTACTTCATTTATGTGACTCTATGTTACTATGGAGACTATGATGGAGTCACCTTCATCATAGTCTCCATGGGAGACCATGATTTAATAAATACTGATGATTTTCAAATAATCTAATAAATCATTACATGATGTGAAGTTTGTATATTCATGTTGTTTTCTACCAATAGTGTTTATCGTTTGGGTTATGTAATTTTTCAAAGGGATTACTAACCTCACTTTCAGTTAAATTAAAAATAAAAATTAAAAGATTCCAAACCAAGTTACGTCACTACGTTCACTCTATCTTGTAGTAGTAGGATGTAGTAGTCATCCTAGAGGATGACAGCACGACCAGCTGTCGAAAGCGCTTGCAGAAAATTAAACAGAAGTTAAAGAGCTTCAAATCCTTTTTGTAACTTACATTGATAGTAAAATACTGAAAATAAAGGAACGTTTTATCTTCCTATTTGTTCTTTTATGCGGTTAAAACGCCTTAGTTGATCTCCACAAACTTGTGGAGATCAAATCGTGAGTTGTAGTTTTTAAAATTAGTATGAATCTTCATCAAGTAACGGTCGAATCAATCAGAAAAAAAAAACCTTTGTGTTGGCGTTTCTTTAAGTTCATTGTTTCTAGGAATTTGTATTGTATTGTGTAGTATATTGATTGTTAGGTCTTGTTGTGTTTTGATTTGTATTTGTTGCTCGATAAGTGAATTATAACTTTTACATTCATGGATGTTTAAGTATTCCCAGGTGTCCATACGGTTTCCTTTATCAACTTGTTTTATGAGTTTTATGTTCTCTGGTGGGGCAAAGTTATGTTTGTTTTGTATGGCGTGTGTTACGAGGTTTGATTTATATGTTATTGGGTTTATGTATGCCTTTTTGTACCCGTCGTACCTTCAGATCAGTTTTTTCTTGCTTTGGTCGATATAGAATTTGTTGCAGCATACACTGCTCGGACTGTTGATACTGCTCCATCTGCTAGGAGAGCAAGTGACCTATTTGTTGAAATATCAATTCATGTCTCAATGTTAATACATGGGATGTTGATAATTCTTTCATCCAGAAGATATAACAAACATTGCTTCCATTTTTTTATTACAACAATCAAATTTCAAGTCCTAGATGGCTTTAAAAATTATATTTTCCATAATTAGATATTTAGCAGACTTTATAACATTTTTTATGTGTACTGTATCAATTTCAAAAAGTGGGTAGGTTTTAGGGACAAAGTTGAAAATATTCTTGAAAAATGTTTTCCTCTGAATAACGATCTACGAATCCGAGCGATTTTTTTCTAAATGCCAACAGTGAGATTGCTGTGCCCACCCTACATATCAACTTTTACTAAGATTTGAAGTGAATAGAGAATTTACTCATACGAGGACTGGGCGAGTTGACTGTTTCAAAAAGTAATGTTAATTAACATTGCTCAAACGATTGATAATTGAATTCAATTGCAACTGGCCTGATGAGCTAGTGAAAACTAAAAACACGCATGCATTAAGATGTGACATAACTCGTTAGGAAGTAATTCCACGACATTTATTACATTTCCATCATTATGCCGTCGCAGTAACTGTTCATTGCTTACAATGAGCAATTTCAGTAATGAACCGAATATAGCTTTGTAAGTGAAGGAAATTGCGAAATCGCGTATGATGTTCAATTAGCGGTTACCGGAGCGAATTTAACTTCGGCGAATATAAAATCTGATCAAGTCCCACGTATTATGAAACCTTCGGAACGTATTATGATACCGATAGGGAACTAAGTACCGGATTGGTTTTTATGTATTTGATGTAACAAACAAAAAATATAATAACAAAATTGTTAAGGCTTTCGCGGTCGAGGTTTTCAGTGTCATCTTCCTGTTGTTTCTCTGGTGCCACTGGCTAGCTTTTTCAGAGGTTCATACATCTTGAGTTTATCTCCGATGACTGGGTATTACGACTGCGTAAAGCGTATTTATGTTGACTCAGGTTATTTTGTCTGCTAATATGTACATGTACCTGGACTAGGTGAATTGCATGAAGCATGTTTATGTTGATTCAGGTAGTTTGATGTGCTGATACCTGTACCTGGGTTAGGTGAATTGTCAATATCATTCATTGGTGGGTTTAAACATCGTTTTAATGTTGTGTTGCGGGTTTTCAAATTCACAACACAACAACGTATTGGTGAAGAAAACCAACACTGAATAGAAAACATAGTATATCGAAAACCCACTCACACAGGACAGTATCTGAACCAGGAATCCAACCACCATCAATCGACTAAAAGAGGAATCATCAAGACTCCACTAGACCGTGCTTTCGGGCTCTGTTATACAAAAAAAATCTCGAAAAGGAACTAGGCATCATCAAAAATGACCTTCAACGGAATGGTTACTCCAAAGTGATGGTGCAACAGGCTTCAGCTAGAAGACAGCAAGAGCTCCACAAGGAAAAGAAGCCGCCACAACTAGTACTTGTACTTCCCTACATCAGAGGATTGTCGGAAAGGATAAGGATGGGGTCCAAGTATAACATCAGAACCTGTTTCAAATCTGGGAACACTATCCCTACCAGCTTCACGAATTCCAAGCCACCAAACGCGGGCTGCGATTCCATAATTGCATTTACCGGATACCCTGCGAGTGCGCATTTAGCCAAGCTTGCGTAGAGATATGCAACATAGGGAACCTCTAATCAGACGGAACACGACCAACTCCCGCCAAATGGTCAGTTTTCGCTAAAACCGATGAAGCGGAGAAAGGGAAGAGGGGATAGGTGAAAGCACTCGAATGACCTATAAATAGTCAGATATCTAAGAAATGAGTCCAGCCATCACTCGAAGACGATTGTAGATACTAACAATCGAAACGTCGTGAAGCAATTTGGTTTGGAAACTTTAAATTTTCAATTCTTGATTCTTTCAGGATTTATATTATATTAGACAATGGAAGTCCGAACTAATGAAATACACATGAAACATTGACAACCACCTCCAAACAAACAAAGTCTCAAAACAATCAAAGTCTCAAAAAAGACCCACTATCAGCAGCAGGGGTATATTATTGCATACCGTGCACTTGTGGGAAGGTATACATCGGAACCACCAAAAAACCCATGGGTACAGGGCTGAAGGAGCATGAAAGGAACTGCAGATGAGGCTAATTGGACAAGTCGGCTGTGGCGGAGCGCGCACTTAGGGAAGGCAACCACAGGATTCTGTTTGAAAATTCGAAACTCATTGTCTTCAACTGAGCGTATTATAGCCGACTGGTACGGGGGGTAATGGAGATCCAGAAACTTACGGATAATTCCAACAGGAAAGAAGAAGCTGTGAACCTCAACCGAATATGAAATCCCATTCAAAGAATTTCAAGAATAGCAAACAGCATGACGGCAGGTAGAAAACAGTCGACGAATATCGAGGTACCGGTATTAGCACACCAAAGGACCTGAATCAACATAAATACGATTTACGCAGCATTAATATCCAGTTATCGGAGATTAACTTAGGATGTATGAACCTTTGAAGGAGCTCGCCAGTTGCGTCAGCCAAACGTCAGGAAGAAATTCCAAAAATCGACGGTTTTCAAACCAGACAAGTAGGGTCAGTGAGAAAATATAATTTTACTGTGAAAACAATCCTAACATTTGGAATGAGTTAATCTAGTTTGAAATAATTCACACCATGGAGGTTATAGATGATAATAATATTTTAGAGCCATATAAGACCAATGTGAATTCCTTACAATTCCACATGTATTATGAGTTATCCGAATGAAAGCCACACTTATTCAGGCATTACTTAAATATATAACTTCTACTGTTGAATTATACTTGAATAATAATTTCAACTTCACTGGATCTCATGGTAACGCGATCTGATACTGGACTGGGAAATTTATACAGAGTGAGCCATCAATGCATAGCCAAGGTAGAACTGCCAAAATCCAAAAACTGGACATCTCCCCTTTCGAGGACGCTATCTATCGAATGAAATGAAAGCTCACATCTCACTCATTTTAGATTAATAAGGGTTCCTACGCCGATCTGTTGCAAAGACAAATTTTGACAAACGAAATATCGTAGAGGTAAACCTATCTATCGCATCCATTGTATTCTGTGAGCCATCTATATGGCTCACCAAATATGGCTATCTCAATGGCCTTATCTATATAAGGCCTTCGATTTTTGTAGTTGCTTTTTGATGATATCCTCTAGACTTGATGAAAGGACAAGGTGAATCGTTTATCGCCTAATCCTGGTGGTCGTATTCCGATTGAACCTCTTGAACCTTGGGCTGAGTAAGTTGATGATTTTCTCTGGTGTTCATCAGGACTGTGGCATTTCCTCTATCAGCGAAGAATAATATCTTATTCAAACTTATCAACATATGTAGTTTCGCGCATGGGAATCTTCGACGATTTATTACCTCAGCAATGTAGTTCGTCAGAGTACCAATCTCTGAGTCGACATTTGTAATGATATTCTGGTAGAGAACTTCGACTGGAGTTAGGTATAGCGGAGTTTTCACCGAAAGTATGCTAAATTAGTCTCCCGATGGTGTTTGCATCAGTTGAGTCTTATTTGAGAAGTCACGACTTCATACTGGTACTAGGAGTTTGAAACTTATACGCCTCTTTACACCTAGGCTACATTTCAATTATTTTTCTTAAGTGATCAATCTTCACCTACCGTAAATAGGGATGGTATGCAATATGCGCAAACTCAGGTTAATCTTAATGGTAATTAGATATGAAATCAAGTTAGCGATATCAATATGAATTATGACAGTGCACAAAACTGTAAAATGATCGAAGATTTTAGTAGCAGAAACTGCTCCATCGGATCGCGTAAACGCTCAACAGGTGTCCATATCGATACAAACCCGCCTCAACCTGATAGAATATTAATTTCATATGTCTGCAAGCAATCGGACCGGAATGGTTGAAGTGAGTATGGCCGGCGACCAATGCGTTTACATAACTGGAAAATATGTCAGTCGCGATCCGAACACCGACCACTGCTGCGGGTGACCAACGCTCGGCCACGTTTTTTCAACGCGTTCTCTACATTCTCTGTCGTCGTCGCTATCTAGTCGAAAAACCCGACGTTTCCTATGAAATCGGCGAAACTTCCTGTGGTCTTCGCTAGAAACGACGATAAGGAGGAAGACGAAGGAATAGTGAGTTCGTTCTCGGTGCGTCGTTTGAGTCGTTGGGTGCAATGAAAATGAAGTGTTTATTGTTGCGCTGGTGACATGAAAGTGCCGACTGGTTTTAGAAGTCGATGTTGGGGCAGGACAGGTGAACGTGAACGTGTCGATACGATGGATTTTCTCAGCAGGATTTGGGTGAGCCATGTAGAAGTTCGGTGTTTTCTTTCCCAGTCAGTCATTTGGTTCGCGATGATATCATCTGCAAGACATCGGTTCGGATGGTCGTAGGTTTGGTGAATTGAATAAAGATGTACCTAGCTACCCAGTTTGTAACTTCATAATGTGATGCGTTCAAACACTGTACCGTATAATTTTTCAAGAAACATCTGGTCAGTCTTTATACTGCTCCCCAGTTCCGACATTTTTTTCATTTCGGTCATTTTCAGTATAGAGAAGAACTCGCGGACAGCCAAGTATAGTTCAAGTAAACGATATAGTGCAACCTACCTTCCAACAGCTCCCCTTTAATAATATAGTTATTTCCACCATTAATATGGAAGTTTCCAATCTCCATATAGTATTTTTCAACTAAAATTACCTTTTTAATCCTTTTCTGTCAGTTTTCTTCGGTAATATTAGGTACTTCTTCTTTAATTAGCCCTACTAGCTTCTTATCAAATTTTTATGCCTGATGCTTTGTTTCAATATTCCCCAAATCAACTCGATGGGATTGAAAACACAAAAATAGGGGGAAAGTCTCAGTATGGTGTGTCCATACTTTTCAGCAATACTCTCAAGGGCATAAACTTTATTAAAAGTTCTTACTATTAATACTTGTCCAACGACGCTACATTTTTAACATATAACAAACATTTTAAGTAATTATGACTGCACCAATATCGAATTTCAACACTCAAATCGCGATCAGTTCCTGATTGATGACACGACGGCGGTAACCATCCCCGCATTCCCCGATTTCTATTCGTCACCGTAACGTGACTTCAAATTTCATTTTATGACTCTTCAGCCAATCATAAAACTCGATTAGTATAAATTATCCAATACGAACCGCCACTTCTATAGTCCACGTGGACTAGTTCGCAGCCGGTTTATTTCTCTGTATTGCTTCTTTGGCCTTTGAGAGTGCCGCCAACTTTCAGTGTGCACAATATCGTTTACTTAGACTATATAAAGATGAGTTGTCGAAAACAGGAAACAACACATCACCCAAATCACCCAGAAGTCTACGATGAATGGATTAAACTGCAAAATAATGTTTTGACGGTCTAATCTCTCATTAAATTGCGAACTACTAGTCAACATCAAATCTTTCTAGAATATTCAAAGATTCAAATGTTATAAAAAGTTTAGAAGCTTTACTTAAAGCTAACAAATTGTTTTCAAATTTATAGATGAATCATATATCAGTCATCAGTTTATTCAGTTTTTTACCAGAACTGTAACAGTGAATATAATGATGAAACATCGAGATTGCTGCAGGTTGTAGTTATAAAAGTCATAGTTGACTACATATTGAGAAATGGGGCTAACGTATTTTTTTCTGTAAGTATTGTATCGTTTTCATAACAATAATTATATTTCTGTTGTCGCGAAAGAATAATAAAATATTTCACTCATAATTCCATATAAAACTTTTTAGATACATATATTTTTTATAATTTCTTCGAAAATAGTGGTATCAATATCCCAAAATTAAGTAATTGCAACTCAAGGTCATACTCCTTCGCTTGACATTAAAATAAATAAGACAACCTTGAATAGACATCTAACATTTCGTAATGTCTGATTTCAGTGAAAAATTTCGAAATATATCAAGGTTGGATTCTGCACATGTGCTTGTCTACCTGTTGTTGAAAAAGTTTTCGATTCGTTTTATTTCATCTCTTATTTTCAATTTTTCTTAACTCACTTCAAAACTATCCTCACTGACATGTATTTTTACATTTATCCTAACATTTTCATACGGCTTACCTCACTAATTCTGCATACACTCATTAAATACATTCGAGCCGTATTGAAATAAATCGAGTCCCAGACACTTTGCTGGGACCGGTGATCAACTAGTAATTGCAGCATGGTCCTGCAGCTGGTAAGGCATCTTAAATGTCTATCGGATATAATTCAATATCTAGCGTAGTATTAGCCGGGGAAGTAGTTATTTTTTCAGCAGGCATTTTTCAGAACCTACGGTGTAAGTCGTTGGGAGAGATTGATATTTTGAGATTTCATTCGAAATATTCATTTTCTCAATAGTAAGTACTAACCGATATCAAGTTGTTAACGTTTAATACGTGTTATCTATGACAAGAAATCATTTTTACATAACTGTCATATCAAGTGTCATTTTATCTTTGGTCTCTTATCACTAAATCTTCAATGAGATCTGGAACATCTGGCACAGAGCGAATTAATTACTGATGGTTGTTTTTTGGTACTTTTACATTCGATCTAGTACTTATTTTCTTCGTCCCCTAGTACTTTCATTCAAAGGGTTGCGTCAATACTGGTGACAATGTATTAGGTGGGCTGAAAGGTTCTGGACTAACACACTGATGGCGCTACTAATATTAAATTCAAATTAACTTTCAAAAGACATTTATACAAATTTCACAGCTGTCGGACTATTAGTTTGTTGGATAGAACGTTTCGAGCGAAGCAACTTTCATTAGTTTGAAGAAAATGGATAGAAGGAAATTTCGTGTGTTGATAAATCATTGCAGTCTTTCGAAAAAAAAAACTGTTGGAGCCAAAGCTTTGCTTGATAAATAGTATTCGGACTTTGCACCAGGAAAATCAACCATTGATAAGTGGTTTGCTGAGTAAACGAGGTGAAACGAATACCGACTTTCATGAATTGGGCTCCGAATTAGTTTCCTATCCACCGTATTGTCAAGATCTGGCCCCCAGCGACTTTTTTCTGTTATGGACCTCAAGAGAATGCTCGCTGGAAAAAAAATAGGGCCAATGAAGAGGTAATCGTCAAAACTGAGGCCTATTTTTAGGCTGAAGGCACAAAAAATATGGCACAAAGCGCCCACGCTTTTTTTACAATAATACTAGTATTTTCCGTTCGTTATTGTTTTAGGCTTATTTAAAAAAAAACTATTTTTACTTTTTTAGTTCGATGCTCTTTAAAAGCGTGTTTTTTAGTTTTTTGAACTATATTTTTAATTTTTCAGTTTTGTATGCTATGAAAGCGTGTTTTTTAGTCTTTTTAAACTCTATTTATTCTATCAAATTGTATATTGTTTAGAAAATGACCATTGATATTTCGGTTACGTACAGCGCCATCTGCCCGCGTATAGGTCAAACAATAGATACTGTCGATATATCAAGGAGGTTTCGTACAGCGCCATCTGCCCGCGAATAGATCAAAAAATAATGTCGATAATTCTCTCAAATACAGATCCCGAGCTTGAGAGTTACAAGCAAAGTGACAAACAAACATACACACAGGTGAAGCTAATATAAAGCGTGTAAAAATTGTATCGATCGAAACATGAAATTATTTCGATCCCGTTCCTCTTCTTGTCTGTAGTGTATCGGTAAAATTTTTTTTCGAGGGTGATAGTCTGTAATTCCATTCAGATTCATAATTTTTTCAATTGCTTTTCCTAAAAGCTTTCCGAAAGTTTGACAAACCCCGCTGAACTGAGCCCCGTCATGAATGAATCAGTCGGCGACTACAAAGCTGTATCGACCATCTGTTTTCATAGCCGAATATTCTACTGTGGAACTTGAGTGAATCACCAAATCGATATACCGAATAATTGAAGGTTAAATTTATTTGGATTGAGATAATAAGAAGAAATGTTAGCCGATTACGTTTCTGACGTGTAGGTAGTCGGCCTTCCATGAAAAAATTGGATCATTATTTGAGGTTGATGTGGACTATGAATATACCGTAAATACTGGCATACCGTGTATGGAAACTAGTTACCCCAGATTGAATTGAAGTTTCAGTCGTACCTTCAAATGTCATCCAACGTGATAAGAACCTTGATGGTAACTTTTTAATTGAATGAATTTTTCACTTATTCTGCAATTTATCGTTTCAAGATATTGGCAGATGAATGTTGAATATTTTTCAGTTGATTAGTGAGGCAACGATTATAGTTTTGCTTTCATTTTATAATTTCTGTAAGCAATAAGCTCACAAACTTGTCGTGATGATATAATGTTAGACATTCGGATTAGTCACGTTCGCCATCCAAACCACTTCCTTTTATGGTGTTTTATGTATCAGAGTGAATCGCTCGATTTACAGGGTGACCAATGAGAATTTTTCGAAATTCTCGTCTAGTTTAATGCTACATTATTTCACTTGAAACGAAACTTTATACTTTCCATTTCTTCCTTATCTAGGTTGATAGTATACGCGAACTTGGCCAAGTACTTGCCATAATCAAAATACTATACTTTTGCCATGATTACTATTTCACATAAAGTTACCACTAATCCAAAAGGAGCGGAAATATAAAGTATATCATACTTATGTAAAAAATACCATCGAAATAACTGTTCACACAAACATCTTATACACGAAAACGGTACACAACGAACTATATGAAAGAGTATTGATATTTGGATTGTTAGAAGTCGCCGTAAATTACTTTTCGACAGCGTCTAGAGTCAGGCGAATTTTGAAACAGCTCAGTATCAACAAGCTGTTGATGATGATGATGATGAAGTGCCATCATCGTACTTAAAAAGTGCGCAAATGAACTCGCACCAGTATTTTGCAGACTTTTTCAGACTTTTTCAGTTTTTTGCAGGTTTTTCCTTCTTGTTAGAAGGTGGCTCGCGTTTAGCCTATTCCCAAAAAGGACAAGAAAAGTATTTAAAATAACTATAGACCAGTTCGCTTTGCTATCAGCAATATCAAAAATCATGGAGAAAGTCGTAAACCACTGTATCCTCAAATATTTGGAAAGCTTCAACATCTTGAGCGATCATCAATATGGCTTTCAGAAACAAAGATCAACAGGCGACCTTATATCGTATATCACCCATTTTTGGAATAACGCAGTCGAGAAACATGGAGAGTCGAGAGCTGTTGCACTTAATATTCCTAAGGCCTTTGACCGTGTGTGGCATGAGGGTTTGCTGGCCAAACTTCGATGCTATGGCTGGTCGGATTATTTCTGGGTATGGCTCTGCAGCTTCCTGAAAAAACGTTCCCTGCAAGTGGCCATCGATGGATAGCTCTAGAATAGTTTCTCCATCAACGCTGGTATTTCCCATGGATCCATATTGCCTCCAACCCCCCTTTTATTGTATCCAATATATTGCTTTGCTGACGACAGCACATTTGTCTCGTCATTCCAGTTGGATTTCAGGACATCGGCTGCGGAGGCTCATCTTCACCGGCAGCAAGAGGTTACGTATCTTAATGGAGATCTAGAAGTGATTTCAAATTGGCGTGAAAGTAACCAGAATCAATCCAATGCCAAAAAACCCAGGCATCTGTTTTCTCCAAGAAGATAAATGTCTCGGAACCGGATATAATAATGTCAGGTCAGACAATTCCGTGTTCTGCTTCGATAACTTTGTTGGGGGTTTAAATGGACACCAATATGTCTTGGCACAATCATGTCGCTGGAATGCCAAAGGCTGCTTCTCAAAAGTTTGGAACACTGTTCCGAACTAGAAAACTATACACACCTTAGCAACTTTTGATGCTTTATATATCTCAGATCAGACCTTTTTTGGAGTATTGTTCTCATGTATGGAGCTCTGCCCCCAAACATACCCTGAAGTTGCTGAATTCCATCCATTCAGACAAGAACCATCCGCTTGAATGGAGACGCATACATCACGTGCAACCTTGATAGACTGGAACATCAAAGAAAGGTTGGATATTTGTCTCTCTTCTGTAGATACTTTCACGGGAGGTGTTCAAGTGACTTGCCACATTTCATTCTACCAAGAGCGGTACATATCAGAAATACGCGACGGACTGTGGCTGCTCATCGTTTTAAGGTTCAACTCAGTACACCCCGAACTTCTTTGTTCAAAATTTAATTCATTTGGAGAACTGCGTTCAAGTAGAATAAAACTCCGGAGCACGTTTTTCAATTGGATTTAATCTCCAGCTATTCAAATCAATGTGAATCGCTAGTTTCGCACAGGCACCGCTCCTTAAGGATTTTCCTGTAGTGCTTGTGTTTTGTCCTTGAAAAACTGGAAGGGACGAATCTTGCTGTGCCACCTAAGCTACGACGTTGTTACTTATGTTGAAAAATCTTCGAATTTTGTAAAATTGAAAATAAAAGTCAATCTTATCCGCAAATAATTTTGAGTGTCTCATAAATTTAATATATATCTTTGACAATTTCATAACATATGTGAGATTTCCATAAGTTGCTTCAAAAAATAATGTTGTTTGAAACCTAATATTTTCGTGAAAATCAGTTTACTTTGTCAATGCTACAACGAGGTTGCAAAAAGGTACATGGAGTAATATGTATATTATATATGGGGTGTTCTATTCCACCTTGAATGAGGGGGGATCTACAAAAAATAAAAAAAAAAGATTATATTTTTACTGGTGAAAGTTTTACGCTAGCCACATTGTTGGATACACGTTTTAAAAACATTTTTTTTGGCGAAGGAAAAACGTACAAATCAAGAAAATATAAAAGAATTGTTCAAGATCGAAGTAGCGATATAATCAAAACTATTTCTGATAGGACACATATTGAAAACCTCGTCTTCATCACTATGGATAGAATCTTACATCGAAATTTCCTATCAGGACTAAAAGTCGAATGAGCGATTTCCTGTTGAGGACTATTTGTGGTTTTTTACTAGCGCCAGCGAATAATATCGGATTAAATTCGAATACAAAGTAATACGTTATAGTAAAATATATTTTGTACATATAAAGTAAATATCTCCTAAGAATTCTTCTTCGACTCTCTTGAAGAAATCGATTTCGTAGAATATAAACTCCTTGTTGAATTCCGTTGGGAATTTTCCCTGTTTACCTCACAACCCACTTGGTTTGTTTTCTGTCTCGATTTATTAGATGGTGCTGACATGTCACTACACAATGACCTCGCACTCCCTTGACAGCTGCCTTCAGTTGACGATTTCGTGCTGCACTTACATTCGTCATCAGCACCTTTTTTCTTGCCAGAACCGCTCTTGCTGGATCGAACGCTCGGTAAATCACGAATATCCTCTTCCTTCTTAATGGGAATTTCAGGAGTCTTCAGAGTTTCGGCTTTCTCGGTTTCCTTCGGCTTCTCTATAATCTTTGGTGGATCCTGCGGGCATTCCCAGACGAAAACGCTGCCGGAGGCGTCGCAGGTTACTATAAATTTCCCGTCTGCGCTGAAACGTGTTGCGGTAACAACAGCCGCATGGCCTACTCCGATATGCGTCGCTACGCCCTCTTGATATTTCCAGACTTTGATGATCTGATCATTCCCGCCGCTCACGAAACGTTCCCCGTCGGGAGAAATGTCCAGAGCATTGATGGTACCCGAAGGAGACCCTTCCAGCTCTCTCACCAGGCTGCCGTCTAACACTTCCCAGTAAGACAACTTTCTGTCTGACCCTCCTGTCAGTATCTGCACGCCGGAAGTGAAGTACCTCACACACATGAAGAGCGTGTTGGCGAATAGGATCTGCCTTCTGCATTGCCTCTCCAGGTCCCAGATGATGCAAGTACCGTCGGTACTAGCGCTGGCTGCCTCGCTGTCGAACTTATTGATATGAATTGCTGACACCGGGCCCTTATGCTCCTTGAGAGTGCAGATTAGGTCCTGTCTGTAAGGAGATACTTCCCACAGCCTCACCTGCCCCTCGCAACCGCCGCTGATCAATTTTTTCCCATCTGAGGTGACTGCCAGGGACGAAACGCCTTTATTGTGGGCGTTTAGAATCGCGTAAATGAGTCGCCCTGTCAGTGGTGTGAAGGAACGTATTATGCCATCGCTCCAACCAGTCAGAATGGACTTTCCATCGTAGGCAAAGACCACGCTGGAGCAAATGAAGTTCTGGACTCGTATACGTAGCAGTTCTTCCATGGTGCTCATGGACCAGACTCTGACATCGTTCTTGCCCGCCGTAGCGAACACCTCGGAGAAATTGTAAGGAAATGTCACGTCGTATATCGAGGAAGTGTGGCAAGTTACCATCAACTGTGCGTTGAAGTCATCCAACCGGATCATGTAAATCTCAGAGTTATCTGTGGCTGCCAGAAGAGTTGTTTGGTTAAGGAGTTGCAAGGAAGTGACCGCACCGTTTACGCTGGTCGATTTCAGGACTTTCAAAGCTGGTACTGAGGGAAATTTGATGCCGTGCTGTGGAGTTACTTTGGCTTCAGTTTCCTCGACCATTTCGAGAGTTCCGTTCCCTGCTCCCACTACAAAGATGCTGTTGGAGAGTATGCGGATGGAACGTACTCCGAGTTGGTATAGATCAACGCTTCCTCGTGGCAGTTTCTTTCTGGTCAGCCTTGCCCAGCAGCCGATCAACGAAGGCTGTTTCACAGGCTCTAGGATCTCGATATCGTGGTGAAAAAACAACCGTATCTTCAGAACATCTCCGGTTGAGGTACCGCAGTAGCAGAATTCGTCTCTCTCGTTGGTGTCCAGGCACAAAACTGCCCGTTTCGTCTTGGAGAGAGCGACGTTGATGGACTTTACGTTCCTGGCGTCTTTGTCTATACGCCACACTGCTAGGTGTTGTTCTCCTGCGGTTATGAAACATGCTCCTCTCCTGGACATAGACTGGATGACGGTGGCTTCCCCTTGTATACCTCTGGAGACTTGGCTGCCGCAGATGACCTGCTGCTCCTTGATGTCCCAGATGATCACCGAGCCGCAGTCTCTTCCACCGAGGGTGATTACGTATCTGTCGTCTTTGGAGAACGTGACGGCTTCGACTCTCACCTTCGACAAAGAAATTACATAAATGATTAACGTTTTGAAAAAAATGATGTAAGGAGATCATCTGATAATCAAACTATTCCAGCTTTTAATGCACTGTTTGGAACCTTTGATGTAGGAATGAATATTACTGGAGTTTTATCCCAACACCAAACTGTTGTTTTAATCTTTCTCTTGAAGATGATCACTTGGTGAGCGAAAACACTTGTCGAGGTGTTGAAAATAATGGTTTGGTGTTGAATTAAATTGAAATTCCATAATTTTTCACATGCTAATTCAACCTAACCTAACGCGACCTAACCTAACGCGACCTAACCTAACGCGACCTAATCTAACTCAGTCTAACCTTTCTTCATAATTAAAAAAAACTATGTATCCTCAACATCTAACCTGACCTCCAAATTCTAAAAGGAACGTATTTTCGAATATTTACTTTTGTAAAAACTATCTTTTCTCAACATCTAACCTGACCTCCGAATTCTAAAAGGAACGTATTTTCCAATAGCGAAACTCAATGCTATTTATAAAAAGTGATTTGTATGCACCTGACATATTGTGGAATTTCATTATAATTTCAGGAAACTCTGCAATAAGTGATTGAAAAGGGATAGAAAAAGGTGCGATGATATGGAAAAAGTTGTGTTAAATAAAAAATATGTGAATTGCAATCGTTTATTGCCAAAAAAAAGGTAAAATATGACGTCATACAAAATTTGACAGGCTATATCTCGAAAACTAATCGAGTCCGACAAAAAATAAAAAGTGTTCTGAATTCCTACCATCATGTAGTATCGTCCCAGAAAAAATCGCGAAAATCCGTGAGTATCCCATAAAGTATAATTTAGCCATTTCTTTTTATCATTTGAAGTTCGCCCTTCTTAGTTTATTGTTTGATATTTTCAATTTATGCTATATTCCTTGAATAGATCGATTGCCATAATATGACTTCACATTAGTGACTGTCACACAAAAATACTGAAGTGATGATTTGAAAAAAAAACTTCTCTTACCTTGTGGTGTTCGTGTTGCGATACCATTTCCAGTTTCTCAAAGTCCCATATTATGACTCTGGCCTTGAAGCCGATATGGTTTATCTGTCCGCTGGCCACGTACTTTCCGGACCTAGACACAGCTATCGATGATATTATGTTGGTGTGTCCAACGAGGAAGGCCTGTTTTTTGGTGCTCCACTCTTGAATGGCGACCTTGTTTCCCAGCGGGTAGAGGAGATGTTTCCGATTCGGGTGGACGATGAGACCGTTGTTCGTGCCTCCATCGAAGCCAATAATGGCCTTAACTTTGAGTTCGTGCACATCTTCGTCCGGTTCTGCTTCAGACATTTCTCGTCGAAGAGAAGATATCGATAAAACTCTGTCAGTGGAGCCGTCACGAAACCATAGCAACGAGTGACTCGTCTAGGTGTGAGACTTCGGCTGCGTCCACACCATAAAAGCCGAAAGCGTTGAATGCAGCGAGAAAGCGCTTTTTGAATCAACTGGACGGTATATAATATGACAAATGTTTCGTTATATTTTGAAAAACGAATGATATCTACCACATGGGCTGAAAAATCATGGGCCTAGGAAAGAAAACGCGTTTTTTCTGTTCAAAATTGGCTTCATTCGACAACGTGATCTCCATCAAAAGCAACACAATCATTCCAGCGCCGCTCTAACATTTCATTACCATATTTGTAGAACGATTTATCTTTTGCCTCAAAAGAGGCCTCAGTTTCAGCAATAACCTCTTCATTCAAGCGAAATTTCTTACCGGAGAGCATTTTTTTGAGAAATAGTTAGTATAGTCGCTGGTGCCAAATCTGGCGAATACGGTAGACGAAAGAGCAACTGAAAGTTCAATTCGTGTAGTTTTGTCATTGTTGTGATTGACTTGTGACACAGTGTGTTGACTTGATGAAAAAACATTTTTTTCTTTGCCGTATGCGGTCATTTCTTCGCAATTCCAGCCTTCTAACGCTCCAATAACGCCATTGTCGAGGTTGGGTGGAAGAACAACTCAGTAGCACTTGTGCTAACTGAGTTGAACTTCGCCTTTTGTTATGTCAGCAACTAGCTCTCTAATTTATTTAAATATTTGTATGTAACTACAGCTGGGTAACAATAAAGACGATTATTATTATTATTATAAAATTCACTGTTGATGGTATGCCCCTTCTCAAGATAGTCGATGAATATTACATACAAGAGTGTTTACACATGTTCTGTGATATAACTGGGGATTATCTAGGTTTTCGCAATTTTCAAAGATTAAGCATACGCTTTCTAATCCTAGTAAAAAAGGTAGAGTGAGTATTATCTAAATCCATTCTTTGGATCCATGTTTCATCCATTGTCACATATCGACGCAAAAATTCCGGTTTGTTATTAGTGTCCGACCGAAAGTTCGGTTTCGGTTGAGTTTCGGTTTAGTTGCGGTTTCGGCGGCAAACCTGCCGAAACTACGACCGAAACCGAAACTGCATTCGGAAGTTCCCTCGCTGTGATCGGTCATGTTCGGCTGGTTAAATTTCATACAAGTGATATTAGGTAACAACTCAAATAAGTAATTTTATGTTAAATATTTTTGAAACCCCATCAATATATTCAATAGAAGGATCTACATCTACTCAAATAAACACCTCACATATTTTAAGTATTTTTAAGGTGCAATTAATATTTTTTCTCAAATAAGGGTTTTTATGTTGATTATCAATAAGTAAAAATGTCGAAGACTGCATAACGTTGTGATTTGAAGATAAAAAATATAGACTAACTGATTAAAATAACCTTTTCTTTATTTTCCCTCAAAACATAATCCTTTTAAGGAAATTTCGGTTTCGGCCGAAACTGAGACCATTGCCGAAATTCGTTTTTTGGTTTCGGTTTCGGTCGTGAAAACCAGTTTCGGTCGGACACTATTTGTTATACTTAAACACTGCTCAGAATCTTGCAGACGTCTTGTTTTTGGTCAACAGTGAGGTTGCGCGGCATCCAGAGCTTTTTCATAGTCAATCGTTCATGCAATATAAAGCTAATACGTTCTTCTGGTATCTTTACAATGTCAGCTAACTCTCGCAACTTCACTTTTCGATCATTTAAAACGATATTTTGTTTTCTTAAATGTTTTCTGGTACTGCCTCATTTGGACGTCCACTGCGTTCTGCATCATCGATGTCTCTACGACCACGTTTGAAGTCAGCAAACCAATGTTCAATTGTTGTTTATGATAGAACGGAGTCCTTATAATACTTTTCAAGCCGTTGCTTCGCTTGGACAGTATTTTTTCCCATGAAAGAGCATTGTAAAATTAAAACACGAAATTGTTGTTGATCCATTGTATTGAAAATAACAAAAGTAATATAAAAAGTAATATAATTTATTATATCCGAAGTGAATATCTTTCAACAGTAATCTTTCAAAAGTTTTACACTGATTGAAACTGAAATAATGAAAATTTGACAAACACGATCCTAAAATTCAAAACAATACAACGATTGACAGTACATTTGTGGAACATACTTTCGAACTGAACATTAATGTATGTATACAAAAATATATGGATGCGCTACCATTCGGTGGCTCTGATGTTATGGTTAAGTATTTTCATTTAGTTTTCAATATTTCTAGTAGCTTACTTTTACTAAATGCATTCAACTCCAATATTCAAAATTGAAAAAACTGGGTGGGCCAAGTTTAAGAATGATAAGATAACTGAATTCCATATCAATAAGTACTTTTTTATTCATTCTATTGTTTACAGTTTCCCTTGAGTGGTATCCATTAAAATTTCTTCTGTGGTTTGGCATACCCATTGAAAAATTGAAATTTTTTTGAAATTTCATATGCCTTTTACTTGTTTCAAAAGCTCTTTTTAATTCGGTTTGTAATTAAAACATCTACAAATGTCCTATGGCTACGTACATATAAGACTGTTGCATTGCGCGTAACAGCGCGCATCAGATAACTGCAATTTTTCATTTCTTCAACGAAGAGCTCAGTATCAAACGACGCCATATTTTCTTCCATGATTGTAGATGTAAAGTGCACTAAAGCGCGTGCTTGACTGAACCATGTGAATCCTGCACGTTGTCTTGATTTCAATCAGGTTGAAGCCTGGCTCCCTTACCCTTTGGACTGATGTTTGCCAGAAGGACAAACGAGTCATGACTGATGGTGAGTGTTGATGGTATGGCGGCATGAATGTCCTGAGACATCAGTACCGCCCTTCACGGTGTACCCCTACCTGGCTGGGGTGGGTTGGATGAAGAAATTGTTCATCTTTTAACGGATTACATAGGGGCCTTCTATATCGGGAGGGGTCGTCTACAGTATAATCCATAACTTCCGTGACTAATGGGTTTTCATGAGCTTCTGCACCATCAAAAACTCTCTAATTTCTCGACTGAATGGACTGCCGAATGGAAGGCAGCTGCAAATCTCTCCGGTTGGCTTCATTCCGCACGAACCAAGGAGCATTCACAATCATCCTCATTAACTTGTTTTGCAATACCTCCAAAATGGAGATATTATATTTCGCCGCTTGTCCCCAGACTCCTGAAGCATACATGATGACAGGCTTGAACATCGTATTATAGATAGTAATCTTGTTTTTAAGACTCATTTCTGATCTCCTGTTGATCAGAGGGTACAGACGTGTTATCCGACCCTCGATCTTAGATTTAACGGTCTTTATGTGCGGGTTCCAAGTGAGCCTATGGTCTATTAGAAGGCCGAGGTACTTTACCTGCGCTTGCCAGTCAATCTCCCTTCCAGAGATTCTCACTTTTCTGGCCGGAGATTTCATTCTTCCCATGGATATCTCCTGAGTCTTTTCCGGGTTCACTCGGATCTTCCAATCAAGGTACCAGCGCTCAATGCACGTTGCATGGAAGATGAGAGGAGAGCCGTATCATCGGCGTACAGAGATATCTTCACACGCTCGGGCCTCGGAAGGTCACTGGTGTAAAGTGAGTACAACGTCGAAAAGAGCACGGCCCCCTGTGGCACTCCAGCGAGGATCTCTCTGTTGTCAGACAGAGAGCCCTCTACTCTAACCTGGAATGTCCTGTCTTTCAGGAAAGACCCAATCCACCGGATGAGGCCCCGGGGCAGGTCGATTTCGTTTAATTTGTGTAGAAGGCCTTCGTGCCAAACACGGTCGAAGGCCGTGAAGCCAAATTGTTCGTCAGGCAGAGCATTTCGGTCCTCAACTTCTTCGCTGAGCCTTTGAAGAACAACTCTTTCAGCCAGCTTAGCCGCCGACGAGAGTAGACTGATCGGGCGATAGTTCTGTGGGAACAGCGGGTTCTGACCCTGTTTTGGGATCATGACGACGATCTCATGCTTCCACCTTCTGGGGAAGTGTCTGAGGGCCAACGAACTGTTTATAATGTTCAATAAACATTCGACGCCTCTTCAACAACTTATCAGTTATTGAGTCGACCCCGGGAAACCATGTGAATAGTCTAACCGAGACCATAAGAACTCTACGAGCGCTGCAGTCGCGCGTTCGACGAAGAAGGCGCGCGTTGCATGTTGAAACGTGTCACGGAAAACGCGCGATATAACGCTCTCATGTGTACGTTACTTGAAATATTTTCATCGATTCTGTTTGATTTTCCTTGTTTGGAATTATTTTGTTTTTCAGATTTAAATGAATAAATGAAGATTGAAAAAATGCTTTCACCCCAAATTTCACCAGATCCTAAGTTTCAGTAATGCTGGAAGGCATTCTTTCGAGAAATTGTATTAAAAATTGATTTTGTAATCAAGTGAAAAACAATGTTCGACTGTTTCTTCGTTTGTTTCAACAATTTTTATGTTGGTAATGGAAATCAAATGATAAATTTGTTTTTATTTTCAGAAAGATCTCATTTTGGAGTATTCTGATAAGATCCTCTGGAAGGAGTGGCCTACTTGAAAAAAATGAGATACAGTAATTTCAAGTTCTAAGGAAACAAGAATTATTTTATCAGTTTGTCGATTATCGATTTTGAACCTCGAATTCATTGAGATGAACAAATTAAATCCTATTCAATTTTTTTTCAGTATTTCGTTTCATTTTCCATATTTTATATTTGAAATTTTTATTTTTCGGAAAAAATACCGGATTTTTGAGTGATTTCGCACAATTTGTTTCGGTTACATTATAATGATGAACATACTCGTTGTGAACTTGAAATCCATACCTTTTAACGGTCGGAAGATAGTATTTTCTAATTTTGAACAGAATATACTAAGAAACGAACAGATAGTCATGGCACGGTTTAGAAAAAAACTGACGATTAAAACATTTCGTCCAAAACCACTGTGGCTCTATTATCTGACATCTCAGAATGTGAAATAATAAATACTTCAACTCTTCAATAAGACTCGTAGTATGATAATTGTAATTCA